CATGTGTTGGTTATGGTTAAGTTTAGGATAAGTCTCCAGGAAATGCATGTAAGTGAATGTAATGTCCCCTGAAGTGATGTATACATGGTGTGTGTGTGCGTGTGTGTGTCCCTGATTGCTGCCCGGTCAACCTTACACCAATGCTCTTTAGTTGTTGCCATTTCTTCGTGGAAAACAATGAGCTGCTCCAGTGTCTGCCGCAGACTCCCTCAACACACATTTGTTAAATTGAATGAAAGAAGCGGTGCCTGGAGAATACAGAGCAATTAAAAGAATCAAACCTGATTCCCAACGTCTGTCACATTTAAACGTTTCCGGGTTTCCTAATCAGCGAGCAGAATGAGATTAAGGGATTGTACTCATTGAGCCAAGCTGAGCGCTCACGTTGAAATGAATGAAGACTCAACAGGTAATTGCTCCACCTGGTATTGACAATGGACATTGATTTTTTTCCACTCTCCAGACTGGAGCAACATAACTGAGTTTTCTCCGATTTCTACATTTCAAATCTGCTATCAATACCAAATATGTATATTAAAAAATCTCCTGAATAATAATGCACGTTCACTATAAATATGGATTTACTGTTCCTTCAGCAGGTCCAGAGGATGCAGGGGGGGGGTCGAGTGATTACATAACGGCCTTGACATGCTAATCAAAATGTGGTGTAATTACTGAAGTTACGCATTTACCTCTTAATGACTTCATATGCCACCCGTAAGAAAGTATAAAGTGCTCCGATAATGTAGTAAGTAATACTGTTGTTATGTGTACAGCAATATGCATCGAGACATGATATAGCATCGATGGGTCTTAACTTATCTTTCAAGAAATCTCACATTTGTTGACAAAAATTGAGGATTTATTGATAATTTGGTCAAAAAGGAATATAATGAACAGATCGGCAGAGTCCTGAATTGTTCCTTTTCTTTCCTTTATAATGATAGGAAAGCGCCACATTAGATTTAGACCCGTGCAGACTGAGACGTTCTGATCCTTGTTATACTCAATTGATGCCCATGTGACAGCAAACATAGTAGAATTAGAATAGATAAGCTGCTGGTTCAGCAAAGCTTCCCATCCCTCTTCTCAATGGCGTAGTATGCGTTTCCGAGTACATAAGGACCCCCCGCTGTTTGTTTGTGTTGTGGAACAGTCCTATATACCTAAGAGAGTGTTTTCTCTCAAATATAAAACACACAATCCCAGAGCCAGCGGTCCAGAAATGCAATAACATGTTTTTTTCTCATTCCAGCATTAATGAAGTTCATTTGTAACAGTTTAGTGTAATTCGTACAAATTGAAATATGGTGCTGTGCGTTTGCCGCAGTGAACAAGTGCGATGACAACTTCATTACCATAAGTAGAACTGTGTATCATAAAAATCATATTAAAAATTGGCCCCCAAATTGCCATATTAGTTTCTTTATGGGGTAATTTCCATACTACATGCAGTAATAGAATATTCCCTTTACCCTCCAGTGCATATTAAACTCACTCATCTTCCCCTATAAACTCTCCGCATTGTGAGTTTAATGGTGTTCTTTCCAGGCACATTTATTTACAATGCTAAACTAACGCTTGGAGGCCGTTAAGGAGATTGTCACAACAAGTTTTTTTTAGTAGAAAGCATCACAGGGATTTAAAGGATAGGTCAGGGTTAGGATGGATGACGTCAAAGAACGCCAATAAACGGGTGATAAATGATTCAACTCTGATTAGGAATATTGCTATTTTTCAGCGTTGTCAGTGGAATAAAGGCATCAGCACAATGGACTAGTTACTGCCTTTTTCATAATTGAGACTAGCCCTTCTAGCTGTGCCCCTCAGCTGATCATTAATCAAGCTGAGTGGAGACCAGGCGGTGTGACAGCTCTGGACAGCGCTATATAGGGAAGGAGGTTTTTCAGGTAGCCAGGCGAACCTGAGAGCCATTCGCATTCTGGAAGTGGACAAATGTACCTCCTAACTATACTTTCATTATAACTGTGTAGCCTGTTTGGAGGATATGCTGAACCATGGTGCCGTCTTTAAATTAACAGACATATGAATTGACTTTTTCTGGTACAAACCAACTGCTAAGCCTCTTGAAACATCCTTGCTTTTTAATTAAAGAAACATAACATTTAAGCCATGACACCCAGTAAATCTTCAAGTTGACAGTGACAGGCCGTCCTAACTGGTTTGTCACTAAGAAATCAATAGGCTGGCGGAGACGCAAAGCCCATTATTGTTGGGAAAGATGTTCATTAATTATGTCATTTAATTGGATTTAGGCAGGTGCACAATGAACACCTCGGTCAGGGTGGTCAACGGTGGGAAAGGCCTGAGCGTCACTCCCCTATTTTTCTATTAGGAACCAGCATGTCCCCTGTCTCCTGGAATTGCCGTGCTCTTTATTGATTAATGACCCTAATTTATTACCGAGAGGAAGGCTGTGAGTCGAGCTAAATGTACTATTAATCAACTTTCAGCACCAAGTTATGAGGATCTGCGTTGAAAATGCCGCGAGGAACGCAGGAGACCAAGTGGCTGTTTTCCCCCGGCTCAAAGGTGCTGATTTTAACCCGAGTTAAGAGTCTAATACCTCGTGCGCCGGATGACAAATGTCTTTGTGGGAACCTGAACATAATTCCTTTTGATGGAGTGACCGCCATGTTCTTGCCACAATTCAAAGGCAAGCCAACTAGAATAATGAAACGCCCGTCCGCAGTCTTGAAGAACATCCATTCATTTCAAAGCGAGTAAAGGCCCGAAGCTCGAAATATATCACAGATAAATCAACAATATTATATTAAGCTGAAAACGGATGAGAGGTAAAAGAACTGGAGGCGAAGCTGCGATGAATTCTCTACAAGGCTATTATTTCCCATTGAGTGGAGACATTTATGACACTTTAAATCAAGCTTGGCAAAAACTACAATTGATCATAATTTCCAAATGCATTGCTTCAAATCCTACAGCTAGTAGTTACTCCGAATGCATTTGAAGCCTTCAAAAGAATCTTTTTTTTTCCACAGCTGTGTTATGATGTATAATGTGAAGGATTTCACAATTAACCTCTTAAGCAGGCTGGAACCATCACCAAGTACCACTTAAATTGTCCCTAATTTAACAGTAAAGGTTATAACTCTAGACATCACCACCTTCCTTAGACTTGATTTCTTTTTATAAGGAAATCTTTTTACATTTCCATTCTTGTGTTAAGTCAGAAATTAACTCTAAGACATGTTTGGAGCCAAAATACTTTCATCCAATCTTTAAAGGTCCCATGTCATGTCCGTTTCTGCTGATCATATTTCCATTGTTGAGGAGATTTAAATTGTGCAATTTCCAAACTCACATTGGTTTCTCAAACAGCATCTCTGTATAGTATCTGTGTATTCACTCTCTGTCCTAAACGGCTTGTTGGAGCTCATTACTGATTACATTTAATTAGGAAGGGTTAAGTGTGCTCTGATTGGTCGGGCGTTGTGAAGGCTCGCTGCTACGATTTAGCGGACAGGTTTCCGGGTCAGCAAAAACTCATCTCTGAGCCACACACACACACACACACACACACACACACACACACACACACACACAACACACACGCCCCCCCCCTCCCCTGTGAGCCCAGTGTGCTCTGATTGGTCGGGACGTTGCGAGGCTCGCTGCTGCTACGAGGAGCGGACAGGTTTCCGGGTCAGCAAAACTCATCCTGAGCACACACACACTCACAGCCGAAGTAAAAACAATAAGTGTGGCTTGATATTGAGTAAGAAGAAGGTTTATAACTCTGTGAGAATGGGTCTGCAGAGAGAATTTCTCCACCATCCCAACTCGTCTATTACCAACCAGGGAGCTCTATGCAAGTCAATGGGACTCCCTGTTAGTTAGCCAAGGGATCCTGGTGTGTGAGGTGCTCCGTGGATTGGTCCATTTGGGCCAATCCGGTCATTTGTTGTTGATTTGGGTGTTCACACGTCACAGAACCCAGGAAGCAAACAATGGAAACAGAGAAATGTCCAACGAGGCGTTCTGGGGCAGCATAGACAGGTCTTCTGTGTGTTAGAGCTTTACTCCCTACAGGGTGTACTTTGAGGGTTTGTGACTCTGCAGACAAACCTTCATAATACGGTAAGAACCGGAAAAGCATGACATGGGACCTTTTAAATACCCTCTTATTCACTACATGTTATATAAAGTGACAAACTTTGAATGTCGTCTCTACGTGTTTTAAGTCTAGAGTTGCGTTTCGTTCGTTCGTTATTCCTCATCTTTTGTTAAGAGGCTGTGTTTTGATGTTCAGTGGTGGTTTGTTTTAGTCTGTTTTAGTGTTGCTAATGTATGTGGCATTGCTCATTTTTATATAATTGTGCCTATTGATATTTTGGTCCAGTGTGTTATTATCTCTGCAAGGCGTAGAGAGATAATGTGTTTGGTCATGTGTGTGTGCGTCGATATG